TTGAAAACTTGAATCTAAAAAGATACCATTAAAATGCATGTCAGTTCTTAACCTCTTGTAGATCAGCTTGTAACACTTTTGTTTTTTAAATGGTTTAAAAGATAAATATTGCCTCCATCAGAGTCTCATTGGGATTTAGTTTCCTTTGGACCTCTCTTGGGCCAAAGAGCCTTGACCTACCAGACCTGCAGCTTTCCCCTCTGGAAAAGTGCTGACAAAAGAGCCTTTATCCCAAAACCTTTCCATTCCTCTCCCTCATAAGCACTAATTTCCTGTTCGGTGTTTACCCCTCCTCTTGGATTTAATCAAATTAAACAAATCACTGCATACTTTCTTATTGACTCTGTTTCACTTGTATTTTCAAGCCAAAAATCCTCATTCACACATGTATTTAAACTGGAACTAAATATGAATGTATGTGACTTTGACATTATGAAAATAACCAATGATTCACATACTTTTCTTACTCAGGAAACTAGATTGTAGAAGATTGTATGAAAGCAACAAGAATACTCTCTTGTAAACAAATACACAGAAGTCAGAAATAACGTAATTTCCTGTTATGTAAGAGTTTGAAAAAGGTGCAGTAATTCAGTCAGCAGACTGCTGATCATATTGATTTACAGTACAACAGGCTCAACTGGCTTACACTCAGTGTCATGGCTAGGATCCAAAGGAAACTGCTTTATGTAACCTGTTTTTTGTCTAGATACTTGGCCGGCTTACCGCTGAAAAATATCTCAACTCAGGCTGGACAGAAATCTGTTGGACTTTGGAATGTGTTTCTTTCAACTTGCGGCAGAAATATTTAAAAATATGATCTCTCAAAAGACGAATACACAGACTTTCCTGAATACGTTTTCAGAGTAATCAGAGACCTGCAGTGAGCCTCTAAATCTCTGCTAATCAAGGAAGCAAGCTGTGTACCCTTCAGAGGCAGCACTTCCATAGAGCTCGCACACAGAGCAAGTCATAAAAAAAGGAGCGATGAACATGATGTTAAACTTTCTGTGTGGGTGGGATGAGCTGACCGTATTGGCAAACCAACATAACCAACATGACGGCTTCTTTGTGTTGTGGGGTAGCTGTTTTCCATCCCTCTCAACCCATGTCACAGTACATAAAGTTGAGTCAACAAATCAACAACCTCTGTTTCGTGCTCTTTCACAGGACGATGAAGGCCGGCACGGGACTCTTCTCTGCATTGGCTCTGTTCCTCCTTCTGGGGGCAGTGTTAACCGAGAAGCCAAAGAAGACCACCAGGCGCCCGGGCGTCACCAGGAGGCCTTCTGTCCGCAAGCCTGCTGAGCCGGCGCAGCCAGAGCCCCAGGAGCCTACAGACTTCCCCCCTGTGATCCTGGGCCCCCCCTCCATGTACGTCGACTGCCCCCGAGAGTGCTCATGCTCCCCGAGCTATCCTAATGCTCTCAACTGTGAGAACCGCAACATCCGCAACATCCCTGTCATCCCACCTCGAACCCAATATCTGTACCTGCAGAACAACTACATCTCAGAAGTGACAGCAGAGCCGTTCATCAACGCCACGGAGATCCGCTGGGTCAACCTGGCGAATAACCGCATTCATCGAATAGACAAAAATGTCAGAACGTTTCCTTGATTTAACAATTTCATGATTTCAAAACAATAAGAAACCAGCTTAAAATGTGATCTGTTTCTATTTCTATTCAAGGTGTTTGAGAAGGTCCCAGCACTGCTCTACCTCTATGTACAGCGTAACAACCTGAAAGAGGTCCCTGCTGGTCTCCCTGCAAGCCTCGAACAACTCCGCCTCGGTAGGAATCGCATTTCTAAGATCCCTGCAGGCTCTTTCAGCCGAATGGGAAACCTGACTCTGCTTGACCTGTACCACAACCAGGTAAAAACGTACTTTAATAGTACCTTTGATACCATTTTACTGCACTCTGCTGTGAAGGTTTGAGCAGGGTCAACAATGTGATTGCATTTCTGAAGCAAACATGAATGAGTTCTTCTCTTCCAGCTGAGTGACAGTGACATGGGAAAGAACACATTTAAGGACCTGAAGGGCCTCGTGCAGCTTAATCTGGCCCACAACATCCTGAAAAAGATGCCAGCTGGCGTACCTAGTAGCCTCATACAGCTTTTCCTGGACAAGAACCGCATAGATGGCGTACCAAAGCAAGTATACAGTGCACATGATGTCACATGAACACACCTGCATACACATAATGCAGCATTAATGAACACTGGTTGGATGGTTTACATTGGTTCTTCTCATTGTTGTTCAGGGACTACTTTGATGGATTCACCCACCTGGCATTTGTGAGGCTGAACTACAACCAGCTGAGTGATAAAGGACTTCCCAAGACTGTGTTCAACATAACCTCCCTGTTGGACCTGCAACTGTCCCACAACCAGCTCGCTTCTGTTCCTCTCTTCAACGGGCACCTGGAGCATCTGCACCTCGACCACAACAGCATCGAGAGTAAGTTATCACAACAGCAATCTGTGCCATCTTGAAGATTTGTAAGAGGTAGCAGAAATGTGTTTTTGTTATACTGACTTTTAGATAATACATGGCAACAACACTCATCTTTACGAGACCTTTAGTGTACTTACAGCTGCACTGATCAATATGTGTATAACAATGGATCAAAGGGCTACCGACATGCAGTGAAAAACGCTTGTTTTAATACTCATTGTTTTGGTTTAAAGCTTTCACCCTAACATATCATCATCATTTCAAGTGGCATCAGCTGTTTTTAGTCAAATAGGATAAATGGTACCCAATGCAGGTCACTAAAATGCTGACAAAGTCTTGCTGTGGAGAACAGAAGAGCAATTATCAAGACCCAGATTTCTTTTCAGAGTTTGGTGGAAAAAAAACAGGTCCTGAAATAATATGACACATTTTTCATAAAGTGTAAATAGCAGGAGAGTAAATGGCAGCAATAGTTAGTGTTGTTATATACTGTATAATCTCTTTTATTCCATGACTACGACAAGACAATGACAATAAGGCACAACGACTTTGAACACTAACTGTGATGAGAAAAGACCCTATTGACTTAAGTTCAATATGATCTGATGACTTTAAAAAAAAGACAGACAGAAACTAAGAAGAATAAACATAATGACTTCACGTCAACCTTAACATTGAGTTTTTGTCAACTAAATGAAGCATACAAATGACAAAAATGTGATTAAAGTTAAATCTAACATAGCTGGCAAAATTAAAACTGGTAAAAAGGCAACGATTTCAAGAACATCAAGGGGGTGATGTGTGAATCTTGTGTTTACAAAATGCTCTGCTGCCCCCTAGTGGCCAATAATAAATTCAAGGAGCTTTGATTTTGGCTTTTCAAATCGATTTCTATTCAATTGCACTGATACATGCAGAAATGTGTTTTTGCCTATCTAGCATTCTTAAAACTTTATTAGGTGATAATGTGGTTCTGTCAACGTATTTTAGTTGTTCTGCCTCCCAGTGGCCCAATAAATATAATGTAGCTTTGACCTTGTATTTGTCTAATCCTAATGTATTAATCCATAACCTTTCCTGTAGTTTAATCAGTATACAGTCTGTTAGAACATGATGATGGTTGATCATAATGTTTGAGGTAAGATGAACACCAAAACCAAGATCTAATTTATAAAAAGAGTCTCTAATACGGTTACTTTAAACATTTCGGCACACACTGGTTAAAGTTAATATTCCTATTGCACCAAGAAAACTACTTGTTTGGCAGCTTCTAAAGAGTATGTCCCTGTTCAGAGTCAAGTTCATAAGGTTTTTGCTCACATTGCCACAAAGCTTTGCCTCAGGCTGCAGCGTCACTAACAGGTTGGGACTTTTCCGAACTAAATCTTAATGTGAGGCGTTGCATCATTTTAGGTTTTTCTCCTTTTGCTCTTGTCTGTAAGTCATTCATCCTTATTTGTTTTAATAGTGCTATAATGCATGACATCATTGTATTACTTAAGTGATTTATGCTTTTTTATTTATGTTTGTATTATGTTGTTTCTTGTAGCCATTTGGACTTTTAAAAGTGTTGAATAAATTGTCATGATTAGATAGTGTCTAACACAAGATAAATCCTTGTATTCATTGAGCAGTTTGTCTTGGTCTTGCTAAAGGAAACATTTAAAGACTATAAATGTATGATTGTGTTTTCCGCAGGCATCAATGGCACACAGATCTGCCCATACAGCCTGGAGGCCGACTCCAGCGACCACAGCATGGTGCCCAGACTAAGGTACGTCACAACTTGGCATTACGCAACAATAAAATGTTACCAGTGGCACCCTTTGAAAGGAAATATCTAGGAACAACATAATGATGTCAGGAAATAATGAGTTTTAAACACCTGTTGTTGTTGTGTCAGGTACCTGCGATTGGACGGGAATCACCTGAGCCCCCCCATCCCTCTGGATGTCATCATGTGCTTCAGACACCTCCACTCTATTGTCATTTAGGAGAACGCTGCCTCAGGGCTTAGCATGAGTCACTGTGTGCAAACGGAAGTAAAGGCAAAGCATGTTCGGCGGAAACCAGGTATAACCAACTGTGTTTATGGAAGTGGAAGAAATAAATGAAAAACTGTAAAGCTTTGATAGATAAATGTTTTGTTTATAGAAATACAACGTGGAATGAGTAAAGCCTGAAAAGGCAGGTACATTGACAGACATGCTACACAAATAGTTATGTTCACTAGCAAAATAAAGCTACCAAAAGGGTAACAAACAAAACTGCAGTGAATGTCAGAAAAAACAAAGATTAAAACATAACTACCATGTAGTTGAAACTGTCTCAAATGTTCCTGTGATTTTCAAGGTGCTCCATGTAAAAATGTCTTTTTATTCCTTTTTTTTTTTCTTAGTCTCCTGTATATTATTCTTCTGTATAAATAAGCTTTGTACAAATAATGGAAAATAAAAGTTTTTTTCTTTGATCAATTGATCGTGTCTGCTTTTTAGGGATAAAGATCATCTTCCCATTCTGTATAGGAACATTAACATTAAGTTAACTAGCAGTAAAAAAAGTAATAAGCTCCAACTTTATCAATGATGTATATTAGGACATCAATACTTAGAACAGTGATATTAATCTGTAGAGGGCCATTCTGCTTAGAGTACTTTCCTTTTGGTTCTTTAATTATATTGTGTTGCTATTAATGATGTATTTTTACTGTAGAATGTCAAAGTAGTATGCAGGACTTTATCTTGTAACAGAAGATTTAAATACATAAGTATTGCTACTTCGACTAATGTATTGCACAATACATCTTCCACCAATGTGGTCCACGGAAATCTCTCCATCAGAAGAAACCAACATAACCTATGCCACAGTATCTTTGGAAAGTTAGTGATACAAAATGAGTATGTTCTTCTTAATTTTATGGTTAAGGTAAAAGCAGTGGTCGTCAAACCTGGAATAAAGCAGGTAAACACAGAGACTGCATAATTATGGCATACATAATGTTCCTTTTGTATTTTAAAATTGCTCATGTGGAAACCCTAATTGCTATAGATGCCCAATGTGTTTTATTCCCATTTGGGTTAATGGCCAAATGGTGCAGGACACCTACATAATTAACAAATCAATCAATCAAATATATTGAAAAGCATATTATAACTTAGTTAGATGACATTATAAGCTAAACAAAATGGTTCCCAACATTGGGGTCATCATCCAATAAGGGGTGGTAAAAGGATTACTGTACTCTACTGTACTGGAGGAGTTGTTGTTACTTAGTTCAGAGCTTAGTTCAAACATGTTTCTGTTGCTTTTTTATAACAGCAATACATTTGGACTGTGAAGAGCCACTGTGACTCAATCTGAAAGAAATGTAACATGTACTTTGTTTTGAGGTAGTAAAAGTGTATCACAGAAATATCTTAGACCACTAGGTGATGTACTCAACAGCTGTTAAAGCAGTGCTGACACTTGGGACCTGGATAATTAGAAGAGTTTAAAAAAGCTTTGTGTCGACCTCTAGTGGTTAGAAAAAAGCATTAAGCATTCCTGACCGGGGAAGAGCTGGTAGCTATTTTTAACACAAACATTGCACTGACATGCACCTGTCATATGTACACTGGAATTTTTTCACTTCCTTTTGCTATTATATTAATATATTTTCCTTGAACAGTGGTTAGTCCTGTCTTCAATTGGAGTTCCCTGCACATGATTCTTTCCATTGCAAGGAAATTGAACAGGCCTCAGGCAAGCAGGTAAGCAGGTCCGGTAGGTGTTTCTGATCAGGACTTGTCTGACAGGCATGTGCTCCTCAAGGAAAACGAGTAGAAGTATGTCTGACACTGCACTGAAGGAGGTTAAACGTTCAGTAGCGGAACATGTATCTACATTTGAGAGCAGACATGGTGATCAGTCAGAGGTCTATGAGGTCAAAAAAGCTGTTTGGTGCAAATTCCACCCATCTTGCACCCTGCCTTAATTAAAAGATTAACACATTTTAAAAGATTTTAAGATTTACCCAAATGATGCTGTGTGTACTTTTATACAGTCGGATAATTAAAAGCTGCAGAGTAATGACGACACTCGGAAATTCTGAATGGCTCATTCAATCATTGCATCACTTCCAATAATTCCTCTACAATGATCACACATCAGGGAGGAGGAAATGGACCATGTACCTGTCTTCCAAACAGGTTCTGACATCAGTTCCTTTAATTGCAACTTCCTCCTCCTGTAAACCAATTTGTGTGCATGACTCTGTGTGTGTGTTCAACCTGTGCTGTACCTGCTAAGAAATCCCCCTCACTCCACTATAAGAGGAGACAGGATGGAGTCACAGAGGCACCTCACTCCCAGGACTCTTCCTCTGAGAAACACACACACAGGTGAGTCTGAAACACAGGGTGCTGGTGATGGTGTTAGCCGAGGGTACCTGAACACCAAAGGATGAAAGGATGAGAGATTGTATGCTAATACCATGTAACTTTAAGGTGTATTTCACATGCATTTAATGTACACTGAATAGTTACATGCATGCTTTACTAAAGTGCTGAAATATTTGTATCATTTATTTGCTATCATACAACAAAAATGACAATTGTTTTCTTCTTAAATGTGTGGATTTGTAGCGTTTTTATATTTGTTATATATTTTCTTTTTTTAACTGTAAAATCAGCATCAGACAAAACACAAAATAAGAATTATCCATCACCTTGGGCTTAAGGAAGTTGGGTAACACTTTATATTAAGGTACACAAATTAACCATCAACTAGTTGTTAATTAACATGCATATTAGCAGTATATTGGCACTTATTAATGCCTTATTCTACATGACCATATTCTACAAGTAATAAGCCATTAGTAGAGAGTTTTTCCTCAATAACCCTCTAATTGTGTCTAAATAACTCAAAATTAGGTATTTCTATCTAAGAACATGTTCCCTATTTTAAAGTGAAGTCTTGTTCATAACCAATAAGCTAGTAGTTTGACTCTAATTAGGTATTTCTATCTAAGAATATGTTCCATAGTTTAAAGTGAAGTCTTGTTCATAACCAATACGTATGGAGCTAATTTCCTGCCATAACTCCACAAACAAACTAAACAAGTTTTACAAATGCCTTGTGATTAACTAACAAACACTGTGTGGTTTGCAAATACAAAACACCATCTACAAACTAATGCATTTAGTTTTGCAAATAAAAAACGTATCTATCAAACTAACACATTACATTTTTCTAATAAATCATGTTTCAGAGACAAATTCAGCATATGTTTTACAAGTACAAAACCTGTTCTTCTCAAGTCACGGAATATTACATTTGTGAGAAAATCCTAAGCACAACCACGGCGGAATATTACTGCCAAAAGTCACGTGAGTCACGTGACTTTTGGCAGTAATATTCCTAGGGTTGTGCTCAGGACTTTCTCACAAATGTACACATACACATTCCAGGGTTCATACACCTTTTCACCAATGATTTGCAATGACTTTTCCATGACTTCTCCATGACCTTTACCTAATTTCCCATGACCAGAAAAATTACTCTTTCTCAGCGGTACTGAAAATGGTTTATTTTAACATGGAACAGGAAAATAAGGTCTGCATATGAAACATGTTGTGCCTATCTAAAACAAATCCAATAGTAGGCTTACTAGCTTCTACACGCTAAAGCAACTCAAATCTCTCACCAGCAAAATACCTCGACAGTTAAATGCCATTTTACGTTTCATTACTATACGATATAAGGCATTAATAAGTGTATTATAATGACTAATAAAGAGCCAATATACTGCTAATATGCATGTTAATTAATAACTAGTTGATGGTTAATTTGTGTACCTTAATATAAAGTGTTACCGGAAGTTGTGATGAATTTGTTTGCAGATTACTGATTACTTTACTGATGTAAACATTTTGAACAGAATAATCAATTATACATGATCCCCACCAGTAATTGATCTGGAGGTGATTTTAACGAACAAAATGTCTCTGTTAGCTCCCCCTCCAGACAATCAAAATGATGAAGATGCTGCTCGCCCGCTCTCTCTGCCTGCTCCTCCTGCTCAGCTGTCTGAGTGAACCTGTGGAGAGCCGGACCCTCAACCTGAACAGCTGCTCTGTCAGTGTTCACACAACCGAGCTGCGAACCCATTACACTGACATCCGATCTAATGCGGTGAGTTTAATTCACACACACACACACACACCCACCCACTCTTAAAACCACTAGCTCAAAATGAATAATATAAATGAACAGATGCAGCTGATATATGCAGAGAGGCTTTCACTTGACCTCACCAAAACCATATCAGAAATGATTTTTGATGACACCTTTAAGTGGAGAGAGGTTGTCTCTTATTCTTTGTGATATTTGCATTACAGATAGAAGGAGACAGTGAGATCGGAGTAAGACTTCTGAACAAATCGTTGATGAAACAAGTTCAGGTGGGTTTTTAACCGTGCAGTTCTTTCTATCCTAATTTCCGGTTTTACAAGTATTTCTCTGCCCTCAGCCACAGACTGATAAAGGCTTTAGAGACCGTATATGAGTATTAACAGCTGCTGTGATCTGACCTTTTTGTGTCTCTATCAGGACGGTCAGAAGTGCTGTTTGCTGCGTCTCGTGCTGCGTTTCTACGTAGAGAGAGTGTTCAGTAACTACGCCTCTTCTCAGCCCCAGCAGCAGCGCCACACCAGCGCTCTGGCCAACTCCTTTGTCAGCATCAGGAAAGAGATACATAAATGTGTACGTTAGCTTTTCAACAACTTCAATGATGAAATACAATAAAAGGATTGAATTCATTTAATGAATAACAATGATGCTTTGTTTTTTGCAGCACTGCCAATGTGTCGAGGACACGCAGAGAAAAATTGACACTGTGCATGCTGAGTTTATCAAGGTATGTAGTATACTGAAAATATTAAGACACTATTACTATAATATTTGAACAGTGGACTGCAGAGGTTAGACCTAAAGGCTGTGATTGGGTCTCAAATATTCTACCTGGATTATTGTTTTATCTTAAATACATCAAGTATCACTTTTAGTTAAGCTCAAGAGGTTTAAAATGTTATGGCAAGATCTTTTCATTTTTGAAAAAAAGAAATGCAATATCGAGTATATGTAACTCTTTTTAACATATACAGCAGTATCCACCTTAATATGCATTTTCCTTGAAGCATGTCATGGTATACAGCAATAGGTGTGCGAGGAAAAATAAGAAAGGTTCATTTTGCTAAGATGATCACTGCAGATTAATTAATTAAATGAGTTAATATAAAATATGATATGCCTAACTCAATGGGCTGAAAGACCCAACTCCATACAAACAAAATTATTTCTATACATTAATACTTATCACTAAATCCACGGTTCTCTCTCCCCTTTCTCTCTTTCCATTGAACAGCTGGAAATAAGCCAGGCGGCGAAGAAGGCTGTGGGAGAACTGGACACTGTGCTGGAGTGGATGGAGGGACTCGTCCTGAAAACACGAGCATAATCAGACAGAAGCTCAGCAAAATCAACACTGACGTCCCAGAGAGCTGATGAATCCCCACGCTAACACCAAAGTGTGATGTTACAAAATGTAACTCCTGACATTTCTTTTATGCGCTTTTTTTGCCATTGTACATTTCTCTATGTTGTACTTGAATTAACTTAAAGTCTATGTCATCCACTGAGATGTGGACCGTTTTTTATACAATATTTATATTTTACATGAATGTAACATGAACATTAATGTATATGAATTTAAATGTATTTTTTATATAGAGCTGTTAAGGTATTGTATGTGTGCTTCTACTGTACTGCAAGGTTATTATGCATGATTAAGAAATAATGTGCTATTTTTTCATTTAAACATTGGTTTTATTAAGACTTCAATAAAAAAATATAATCGTATCTACTGAGTTATGTTTTCTTTCAAGACAAAGACAAGATGTCTGCTCTGCATTACTAGATGGATAGATAGATAGATAGATAGATAGATAGATAGATAGATAGATAGATAGATAGATAGATAGATAGATAGATAGATAGATAGATAGATAGATAGATAGATAGGTAGGTAGGTAGGTAGGTAGGTAGGTAGGTAGGTAGGTAGGTAGGTAGGTAGGTAGGTAGGTAGGTAGGTAGGTAGGTAGGTAGGTAGGTAGGTAGGTAGGTAGGTAGGTAGATAGATAGATAGATAGATAGATAGATAGATAGATAGATAGATAGATAGATAGATAGATAGATAGATAAATAGATATGGATATAGGGATGGATGGATGGATAGATAAATAGAACATTAACATTAAATTGCATTAAAGTGGACTGCAGAGGGTGCTAGTGAGTCAACAAAAAAGAGCAATTTTTTAAACCTCTGAAGTATTTCGAGCCAAACACTTCAGATACATGTTTTGTGTATAACTGAGAACTATAATATATTGATGAAAAAGAGTATAATAGGGGACCTTTAAATACCTCCAGTCGATCGACAAAGAGCGAATCACAAGTAATGACAGCTCTGCATTACTTGCCTCTAGTGGTAAGAGTGAACAGTACTTTATCCTTTACAGGTGAGTTGATGCAACACTGCTGCAGCATCAGCAGCAGAAGCACGGTGATTCAACTCAATGATTATATCTCCCTTTCTGACCTCTTCATAGCCACTATCTTGTTTCACATCCAACCAAAAATCAATGGAACTGTGAATCATCACTCAAATTGCATTAGGAAACAGTGTTATTTTTTTACTTTCACTAATTCAGCACTTACATGATTGAACACCATGGGAAAATGTGAGCTGTCACAATGAGCAGTGCTTACATAAGTGCGGTTAACACCATTTCAGGTACATATGCAAATAGCCATGTACGCATGTGCTTACGCATTTCCACCCTACTGTGCACAATTACAGTATGGAAAATCGGGTGTCGTACTTTTGGAAGCATCACACTGTAGCCAATCCATCACCGGGTGAATCTGGAGCTTAGGTCGATTAAATCTGATGTACTGAGAATATCCAGGTCAAACTGAATAATGGGTACTGTGGGAATTTCTAAGTTTCATCTCCTCCCAGAAAGAGGCTTGCTCAGCAGGACAGAGCTACTTCAGTTTTAGGTTACAGCAACACATCCACCTAATGTTGCATGCTCAGCTCTGTTGAAATAATACGCTTTCGGAGGAAGTCTGCTGTTGCCTTTTAAGGACGGATAAGGCCCATTTTTGTGCTTCATTTTAATACACAGCTGTTCAGATCCACAGGGTAAAGTAGGTGATTTGCCAACAGGGCGGAAGCTCACATTGCCCATGAGGGTGATTCAATAAGGAAGTCAAAATGACTAAAGAATTCATAGAAAATCCATGAGGGGTCACTCACAAGAAACATAGATGAATCTCCAAGTTTCCTTCCCATTGCACACAATCCTCATAATTGGCACCCGGCCCACCTACATATTAGCTGTCATACAACACCCACTTGTTTGCATTACAATCATTGCTTGACAAAAACAAAAACAGAAACAGACTTCTGAGGGTTGAATGCTACACACACACACAAACACACACAGACGCACACATACAGAGTCGACCAGAGTGAAAGTGAAAGAGTAATGTGGTGAATCTATTTTGTAAAAACTGATAGATTTCCTCTAAATGCACAAATACAAGTTCACTATGCAGGCAACCAATATGCACAGTAAAATAAAATAAATGTGACAAAAACAAAACTACGCTACATTGTGAAGCTCATGTATTGTGCAAAGACTCAAAGCTAAGAGGGCTACAATTTGTATTTATTTCAAATCAATGTAGTCTGGCGTTCCACTGTGATGCATGTTCCATCAGGGGCTGAATTGACTGGATATGATATCAGCACGTTTCAGGTAATGTACAACAGTAATTGCTGACTGCAGATTCAGATCACTGGTTAGTGACAACATCAGAAACTAAGATTAGTAGGTAAGGGGCCATGACAAGATCGTCACCTCACCACACCAGACAATGTTCCTCTGACTGTAACTCAGCAATCGGAAGAGTGAAATATGTAAGATAAGGTTTGAATGATTCAGCTTTTGCCCGACTGATCAGAATCAGCAGTGCAACAAATATTGCTGACTCTTATATATGGTTTGAGTGTACACTGATCATTTACTGGCTGACATGAAGCCTCCAGTGGATCAATACATTTAGTTAAGGATTACCTCAAATGTTATCATTAATTTCAGCATAATTGCCACATTAGAAAAGCATACATTAAAATTAAAATAAAACACACACCTACTTACATTTCATAATCTATTCTTATTCTTTGCAAAGCTGTTGCACCATTCAGTAAAACTCACTCATCCATCTTTCAGTTTATTATTGATTGACTCCCATTGCGGGCAATGATTGGTAATACTGGAAAAATTGCAGCACAAATAAACATGAAATACTTGCACTTTCATGACCCCCTAATTCCGTGGAAAATGAAATGTTTGAGCGTGACGTCGGTTTTATCAGCAGTTTCTCTGGACACCTCATGCTGGGTTTAATTATGAGTTGTGTACAGGGAAGAAGTGCGCTGACTAAAAGCTATACATGAGTTATGCAAAAAAATATGTTTGACTTTATCGCAGACTAGCTCTCACATGCACATCATGTCACAACTGAAGACTGGGCAGAAGCATCTCAACTACTAACCACCAGAAGTCATGAAACACACACACACACACACACACACACACACACACACACACACACACACACACATACACACACACACATACACACACACACACACACACACACACACAATCCACACACAGAGAAGGACACAGAGAAGGACACAGAGTCAGTGCAAAAGCAAGAGGGGTTTCCCAGGTTACCGCTGACTCATGATAATTACACAACTTGACTTTTATATGTTAAATATGTCAATGTATTAGTATTGTTATATATGTATTTAAATATATAAGGTGTACTTGTTGTTTGAAAGAGCTAATTCCTTTTTAGGTGGATAGCATGACATTAAATGTCACATATCGTGTAACAAGCTAGCATTTTTCTGTGGTGCCTCTGTAATTGTATTTGCAAGTACAATAACCACATTTTCTGCATATTTTCGAAATTGTTTTTTTCGGGTGTTACTTGGATTTTGCAATTAATGGAGTTATCTGAAAACGAATTGGACAATTGTTTCCTGACCTTGTTCTTCTTTAAATCCAAAACCTTCCCCATCTCTGTTTGTTTTCAGATTGTATACATCTTTGTCACAAAAGTCTTAGCCTTTTTATGTTTCGTATTCACTTTTGGTTTGATGCTGCCATCCATTCAAAAGTAATTTAGTCTTAATGAGACTTTACCTGGCTGAATTAAGTAAAAAAATATACATTTTTCCAATATATTTATTATTAATTTCTGTAAAAACACCTAATTATTGACTGCCAAGTGTATTTTTAAGGTCAATATGTAGCTTTTTGTCTTTAATAATCAAATGAATTGTATTTCATTGTGACTTTATTATCAAACCCTCCCTCTAAAACTATAATGAGTGTTGGGTGATTTGTCAGTATATTCTAAGCGATGGAAGAAATGTGTGCACCTGAAACGATCATGGATGTTTAAAGATAACCTTCAATACTGTTTGATAACAATTCTCGATATCGCATATCCAGCAGCCGCACAAGCACAGTGTGATCTTTATGACCAATTCCTAACTCTATTCAAAGAACAACAATACCCGGTAAATGACTTTAACTTGAACAGTGACAAATTATTGATAATTGTGTCTCATTGCTTTGCAAAATGCCAATGTTGCCCAACAGAGATGGAGTCAGATAAAGTGTAAAGTGGACAGACAGCGGGAGGTTAGTTATGGATAAATGGGAATTCCGTACAACAGAAAAAGTACTAAAGTAAAGGGAAACACCTCAAAGTGTCCCAAAAGGACTTCTCTATGTAGTTTATATTCTATAATGATATATACATATATGCAAACCTCACCTAAGGGAAATAATTACATGACTTCAGGCAAAAAACTACAATGAGTGACGTCACATGACCTCACTCGTGTATATCATATAAGGCTCATCTGACGAACAGAGGGAATCCACCGCGTCATCAACTTAAACCACAACCTAATATAATTTCCATTTGTAGGGGGATACGTTATTGCGAATACATGAAATAGTATATGATAATCTGATGCCATTTTGACCAGATTTGCTAGCACCTAAGTATCTATATTGATATATGTATATATACTGTATATATACTATATATACACTGATGATGAAACTAATTAGAGTAAATTGAATAAATATAATAATAATAATACAGTTGTGTAAATTAAAATAATATTTAAAAATATAAAATGAATAAGGAAAGCAAAAATATGTGATATCAAATGTCTCAAAATGCTTTGTCAGATTTTTTTCCTTGTATCAATATATCTCATAGGAGGAGTTGCCTATAGATGCATTCTAAGAAAATTTCCCTGCATGCACGTTTAACCTTCTCTTCCAGTCAGTCTCCTCCCCTCCTATTTTGGCTATAAATTCAAACAAGAGATGAACCCAAATATGTGCACCTTACTCTTCAAAAGATTTTTGCATCTTCACTCCATCATCTCTGCCTCCAGAAGCTCCAGCAGCCTGATCCTCACCATGGCTCCTCAGTCTCTCCTGCTGTCCCTCCTGCTCCTCTGGTCCCTCCTCAGCACTGTCTGCTGCAGTTCCATGTGTAACAACCAGTGCTGTCATTTCGTGGAGGGATTTCCAGTCCGGCTAAAGAAGCTCAGAGAGGACTACTCCCAGATCAGAGACTTCTATGTGAGTAGCAGCTCAACATTTACTCTGACATTAGTGAGAGCAGCATGTAGTGCTGACGGTCTGCAGGTGATGCAGCACTCTCTCTCCTCTGTCACTGAACGCAAC